CTCTCTCTTAACATGCAAATCATGAATAATAAATTCCCAAATCAAACCCCATCTCTCTCTCTCTAGACAAATCAAACTCTCTCAATCTCAAGAATGCTTAAGAAAATGAACACTTGGAAGTTGAATGCATGATTGATTTTCTCTCTCCGCCTGGGAGTTTCGTACTGAAATTTTATGGGTTTTGGGGATGAGGTCAGGGTCCTAATAGAGGTGGAAAACACTGATTAAATAATGAAGGTCGGTTATCCTTTCGGAGTTTATAAGCATAATATTTTCTCTCTCTAACTACTGACAGGATTGCATAGACATCCACTGTTCCTGCAAAAGTAAGTTGCAGAGGCCTTAAACTCAATATTTTGATTAAAATGTCGGTTGTCTTTTCCAAAGTTCCAATATAACAATCGTAATGACAATTTTGATCTCTCTCTCTCTCTTAAAAGATATGTGATGGATATTAATCAAACAAAAATAGAGTTTCCATCTATCATTAATCTCCCGGGCATACGGTGGTTCAGTGTCGGTTGTCCTTTACAAAAATTCCATGCATGGCAATTGAAACTTCCTCAATAATTCATATCATGTGATTGCCTTTGCCCCTCTCTCTCTCTCACAAATTCCATATATAACAATTGAATTCCCCAATAATTCTTCATATCATGTGGTTGCACCTCTCTTTCTCTCTCTCTCACAAACACACAAAAATATCATATATAACAATTAAAACTTTTGAGTGTTTTTTTTAGTGTTTGAAATTTTATCAAAAAATTGTTGAGAACATTGCACTTTGAAACAAGTTCCTCTATCTCTCTCTCTCACACACACAAATTCCATTGATAGAAATTGGGACTCTTTGATAATTCTTCAGATCATATGCGTACATTTTAAAGTGTTGTCTCACTCTCTCTCTCTCTCACGTCAACTGAAGCGCATTTTCAAAAAAAATTGTAAAAAATAAAAATAATAAGCAACCTCTTTTGCAAAAAAATTGTCAAAAAATAATAGTCTCTCTCTTACTAGGGTCTGGTATACTACCGCATCCTAGTCACCATTTCCATTCTCACGGACACCACTCCACTAGCATCTTAAAAAATCCAACGCCTAAACCATTTAAAAAAAAAAAAACGGGGAGAGACATGTCTTTCGAACTGAATTACCTAAAAAAAAAAATTCCTTTTTTGTTAGAAACAGGTCCTCATCCTTGGTCCCACCCTATAATTATACTTAACTACCTTTTGAACTTTATAATAAATTTTTTAAAAAATACCTCATCCTTAATTTCATCTTTTGCCAAGGAAATTTTAGTGAGTTCCTTTCAAAGACAAAGGCAACCATCGTATGTTATTTAAAGGCCACAAAATTTCATATTTAAAGAGCTTGGCCTTCATGAAATGTTCTCAGAATATATTCATTTCTCGAAAGCAAGCAAAGAGTTGAGGGCATATTTCTCATTATGAATGAGATAGAGATTTCACAAAATTAAAAAGACAAAATGAAACCTGTTAATGCTTGCCAACCAATTTACCGGTCGAAAAACACACAAATTAATGACTACATAAAACATTTTTGGTCGTTCCATTCTATAATAAATGGCGATTCCCAGTTGAGCACGTCTCCTGTGAGAACATATTGTGTATTTGCTCCTTTGTTAAAAAGTCATAGGAGGAATTTTTCCGCAAGAAATTTTGGTAACCACTTGAGAAAGATGACATAAATATTTTTAAAAGGAAAATTTGAATCTTGATTAAGCGAAGAGCCTGGGTATAAACCACGCAGCACGTCGGGCTATAAAATTCGTTGTACCTGGATCTCAAGCTTGAGTCCTACCAACACCAGGGTAAAGGAATCTCTCCATTGTACGATATGGAAAATTTGAATATTGGTACACGCTTGATCTCACCCTTCAAAAATTGGACAGAGACCCTTAAAAAATCGGCCGGTCTCTGTCCAATTTTTAGACATTTTTAATACATATAGAGCTCAACTAGAATTTTTTTTAGTGAAAGCTTCGTATAAAACCTTAATTCCTCGTATTATTTCATGGTAAACTTCTTTTTGTTTTTCTTTCAATCGGCAAAAAGAAATCCTAAGGATTTTACTGTACCCCATCATTTTTATCTCCTCTCTTATTGACTTTTGACCATAAAAATTAGTCCCAAGAAATCTTTTTATACCATTTCATCTCAAAAAAAATTTTAACCCTCTTTTTTCTTTTCTACCCATTTAAAAAAAAATTTGAGTTGAAATGATATAAAAAGATTTGTTGGGATTAATTTTTACGATCAAAAGTCAATAAAAAAAAAAAAGATGAAGGGGTAAAGTGAAATCTTTAGGGTTTTTTTATGTTTTTTGAAAGAAAAACAAAATGAAGATCTACCATGAAATAATACGAAGAATTAAGGTTTTTTTTTTTTTAGGTTAGCCTATGTTGAAGATGTTACAGCACTAAAATTTGGGATCTTAACTGAGGAGTCAATGGACAGTATACTCCCACAGGAGAATAAACTTTTGGCTTCTCATTTGTTTTGGCTTCCTATTTTCTCTTGTTTGGTACATGTTCATACTAGGGTGTTTCTCAAAGTGACATGTTATACCATAACCGAGGTCTAGTGAGAACTGAACAATAGATAAAGTTTTGAGAAAAAATAATTAAGCAATAACTGAGGCATGAAATAATTTTTTTAGGAAATCAATACGATTTTATACCATGTTAACAACCAAGATTATTTGGGCAAAAAAATTAGACCTTCACCTGGTCTTTATGTGAAAAAAAATACGATAGTTTTATGATTTTATTGAAATTATGACCGATATATTGTGTAGCCAAGATTCATGTAGGCGATTACAATCGGTTGAAAACAACTTTGACGAAGATGACGATGATCACCCGCTACTTATATCATCATCCATCACCGACCCAAACCGTACACTACCATAACCCCTCTCTCACTCAACCTGGACTTTCGATGCAACTCATTCATGGCTTTTGGGGAAAAGGGTGGCAAAGTTGGAAAAACCGACAGTAGGTTTGTGAGTTAGAGAGAGAAGACTGGGTAGAGAGAGAGAAAGGAGACAGAAACTTAACTAGAGTGAGAGAAGGGACTAAATAAGGGAGAGAGAGAGAGGGAGATTCGACATTATAGAGGAGGTCCACAAATCACACCAAGCTAAGAGAGAGGCCCCATAAAGTTAGAGAGAGAGAGAATACGATACAAAGAGAGAGGAGAGGGTCCCGACCCACACTCAATGCGAACTTTATGCTCGCATTCATGACCTACCAAAAGGGTGTAGCCGCAATTCCAAGTTGGAAAAACCAGCACGAGAGTTAGAGAGCGAAACACGGGAGAGAGGAGAGTTAGAGGGAGAGAGAAGAGAGAGAGAAAGAGAGAGGAACGACATTCCTGCCCACATGATTGCCACTTTTGACGTCTACCTTCTCTCCCCCACTCCAACACGCAATACATTTAAAAAAAGTAGAGAGAGAAAACCATGGAAAAGGGGAATTAGAGAGATGTTTTGACCGGGCAAGAAGTGAGAGAAAAAAAAGGAAAATAACTTTTGGGGGAGAATAAGGAAATGAAGCTAAGTGCCTTGATGACGCAGGTGCATCCCCCTCACGAAACCCTAATTTTGTTTACACCATACACCAAGTGGGAGCAGATTTCCATGCCTGGAATTTTCTCCGCATTTGTGGTCCCACCCTCTCTCTCTCTTCTTTCTCTCTCTAAATATAATTTTCATTTGTTTTTAGGTTTCCCCTCCGAGCACGTAAGCGGCTGCAATGTCAAAGTTTGTGGCTTAAGCAACTCAACCCCATCCGCCCATCAGAACCTTCCCTTTATAAACACCTATAAATAAATAAAATACATTACAAATCCAGAAAAGAATAACCAATATAATTTGCAAAACACAAATGCATAAAGTAAGTCCTATTCACCAAGAATTAGACCGATTGTAAACCGGATCGGTAGGTGGATCGTCCACAGCATGTCAAGGGCTTAAGAAAAAATAAAATAAAAATTTATATAGTAGAGTTTTAAAGGGGCCTGAAAAAATATAAGAAAACCTTAAAAAAAAGAAAAATATGAAAGAGGGGTTTGGGAGAGGGAAGGGGAGAGTTCTTGGTATGGATCGGCAATTCCCAATCCAAATCATCGGGTTTTAAGAGACATGTTAAAACAAAAAAATATTAATTAATAAGAACTCAAAAGAAATTGAAAATCCCGTTCAGCACAAAAAAGAAAAACTCAAATAAGAGCTAGCATTAGAAAAACTAATAAAATCCTTAAAATAAAAAAAAGAAACCCAAAAAACAGGAAAAACCAAATGGAAAATGCAAAATAAGTCCCATGAACTCCCAACATGTAAATAAAGACCATCATTAGCAGAAAAAAATCATAAAAAATGCCCAAAACAGTTGAGCCATTAACATAACAAAAATAAAAAATATTAAAATAAAAAATAAAAATCACTCCACGAACGAATCCAATATATGAAAGAGGGAGACAAGAACAATAGGTACCCACTAAAAAGATCAAAATACCCACTAAAAGCCCATTATAAACCCAAGAGTGGATAAAGCCTCGCCACTCACAAAGGAAAAGAAAAAGAAAGCACCTAAAAAGAGATGAAAAAAAGCAAAGAACCAATTAAAAAGCCCCCACATAAAAAAAGTGGGAAAAAAAATAAAAAAAGAATAAAGAGAAGAATCTAATCCAATTAAACTTAGCCAAGAAATTAAAAGAACCCAATTAAAATAATCAACAATGAGGACGGGTCAATGCCGGAGGCTCCTTCACGTTTCTGCAATTATTATGCACCTCCAAGAGGCAGCTGAAACTGCCCCTCTTCACACTTCAAATGCTTTATTAATAATGGAAAATAGATAATAATTAATTGATTGAAAAATTGGTCAATTTCTTGTTCCCCCTCTCTCTAACCTTTCTGCTTCGGTTTTCTCATAAATTCACTCAATCCCATGTAGTCCAAGCCCCAATTTTAGAAGTATTTGATAGGGTTTAAACTTAACCCCTTGTAATCCAAACCATAAATTTAGAAGTATATGGGGTGTTTAGGTTAACATTTAGGGGCCTCTTGTCAATTAGTATCAGTGAGTTTTGGATTTTTCAATCAGAAAATGTTTGTTAAAAAAGTGTCAACGATGGGTTTGAGTCTCGGTTAAGGCAAACCCTTGTGTCTGGTTGTGGGCATGAAGACAAGGGTTGGGCAGGTATAAATGGAGATGGGCTTGGTGTCCTATGTCCCATAAGCAGGGACCAGGGGTGTGTGGGTTCTCTGGTTCTAAAGTTGGAACTGTTTCCATAATGATAACTGCCCATTTCTAGGCTCCTCCTCTCTCTCTCTCTCTCTCTCTCTCTCTCTAACAACCCATCTATGAGAAGAGCTCTCGAAAGCACCATCCACCTGTGTCCCTTTATTAAGGGCCCCCCTGCAACTCTCTCCCTTCCTCTCTCTCTGAACATTTCTTGGAGCTTTCTAAGTCCCCCTCTAGGCCCATTCCTTCAGGGCTTCTGATACTCTTCTTCATCCATCTTTCCCTCTCTCTAACCACCCAATCCTACTACAGCTTCCTATCCCTCTGCCCCTTACTTCAGGGCTCTCTCTCTCTCGAGCATGGAGAAGGAGAGAAGTTTCAAGGAGGCAATGGTTAAACTACCCCCAGGATTCAGGTTTCACCCCACTGACGAAGAGCTCGTAATCCAGTACCTGAAACGCAAGGTCTTCTCATGTCCCTTGCCCTCCTCCATCATTGCGGACATAGACATCTACAAGCATGATCCTTGGGAATTACCAGGTTAGCGAAACTAAACCTTCATGAACTCCAAGGTTTAGTTCAAGCTTCTTGTGTGTTCCATGGAAATTCCTTCCTCATTCTAGTGTTCCTTGTCTCACTAATGATTTTTCTCTCTTTTCTCTTCCAGGGGAAGAAGGGCAAGAGAAGTACTTCTTCAACATCAAAGAAGCAAAATACCCAAATGGGAACCGGCCCAACAGGGCAGCTGCTACTGGTTATTGGAAAGCAACTGGAATAGACAAGCCTGTATTGTCAAGCAGGAGCAACCAAGTTGTGGGTATGAAGAAATCTCTCGTTTTTTACAGAGGGAAGGCCCCCAAGGGTGTTAAGACTGATTGGATCATGCACGAGTATCGTTTAGCTGAGGCAGGGGCAAAGCCCTGCAATATTTCAGCAAGGAAAAGCTCAATACAAGTATGTGAGCTTTCATTTGTGATAGAAAAATTCACCGTGAATTGTCTTTTTTACGGCAATTCAGCCTGACCAGTGTTCAAAATGCATGAAAATTTTCTTTTCTTTTTCGTTGGGAGAATATAAGGAGATGTTTGGTACATGTGAAAACAACATTTTTGTAAAAGTATTTTTACACGGAAGAACTCCTCCATGTGACTAGATGCGGGAGTTTTTTCATACCTATTCGTTCAACATTTTTTCATACCAATTGGAAGCCAATTGTAAAAACCCCTATACCCAATGACATGGGGGAGCTCTTTTATGTAAAAATACTTTCACGAAAATATTTCCACGTCTATTAAACATGCCCCAAGGGAATACACTGAACTTTGTAAATATTGGGTGGTGAAAATAATCCCAGTTTATCAAGAGATGGAAAACAATAAACCCAGAACAAGAAATCAGAGAAATAAACAAAACCCAACAAGAAGCTAGTAAAGAGAATGGGTTTCCAAAAAACTATGAGCAAAAAGAAGGAAAAGAAAAAAAAAAAAGGAGGATCCAAAACAGTAAAACTCATCAAAAAAAATGGGGTTCTAGATTGTACAGAATTGCGGCTCAAAACAATTTTAAAAATAAAAGGAGTGAAAGCTTTCCATAAGATAATCCTGAGAGGCCTGTCTTAGATTGTTCTGTGGTTTATGTTTTCTGCAGAATTATATGGCTCCGGTGGAAGATTGGGTGGTATGTCGGATATTCTTGAAGAAGAGAGGGCCTAAGAGGGAAGCAAGAGTAGAGCATGGCATCCACCTCTCCAGCAATTACAGAACTGGCTTCATTGATTTCATGCTTCAACAACAGAATTCCAGAAATGCCAGGGAAGACATAAACAATGAAGAGAGCAGCAGTTGCAGTAGTACCCTAACTTCATCTAGTTCAAAAAGTGCATGAGCCCATGCAAATTAGTGAATGAGCGCTTGGGTTTTTTAGCCAAGTAAAAAAAACCATGGAATAATTAACAGTTGGGAGTATGTTAACCAACTTGATGTCTCTTTCACTCTTTGTTAATGGTTATGAAAGAAACCAAAAGAGAATAGCAGGAAGTTGGCTTTTGGCAATGTGGATCGTAGAAATCTGCCAATATGAAGCTTCCTCATGTAAAAGTATTTTGTAACATCAAAGAAGAAGCCGGCTCTTTTTCTGTTTTTTGGATCAATAAGGGGAAACAGGTTTGAGAGACCGAAGATTGAGATTTCAATTACCTAGTACACGTTGTCCTTGGTCCAGAGCATCAACTAGTATATTTGTATAATTTAATGCTAAAATTTTGAAACTGCAACGGATAGAAAGATGCTACAAAGACATGGATATACAGCAAGAATACAAATAATACCAGTTCACAAATGTGTGCAAACAAAATTATAGAAAAACCTTGGAAAATAAGCTGCAAATGTTCGAGAAAATAAATAAAGACATTTAATCATGTAGAACGGCGAATAAACACTTAAAACTATATTTTGATATATGTTATTTTCTAAGAAACTGGCATGATGGGCAGCGTGATTTTTATTATTGGTGTGGCTATTTTGGTTATTGTAAACCATATGTATCCATATGGCACAAATTCTTTGTAGGCAGATAGGGCTAAGGAAGAAGTATGAGCTGCATAGGATTCTAAGTTCCTTAGAGCACAAGGAGAAATGGAACATATAATATCATGTAATCACATGAAATCTTACACCCACATCAAGCAAAACACTCACTACAGGGAACATTTTCTGGTTGCAAATATAGAACTTGAAAAGATAAATTACGGACATCTATCCAAAGAGAAGTAATTTGTGCATCAAGGGATGCACTTCTACAATAGCGTTCCCCGACCCATGTAACATCCACCTTGGAGATGGATGATAGAAAATGGAAGCCCCACAATAATTTAAAACCGATTGTTAAAACTGTCTAAAAATGTGTAGTTTTATTTTAAATTTTTTCTTTTTTTCCAAGCTCCTACTTATCATGGTTGAGATTTTCATTCCCTAAAATTTCAAATCCAAAATTCCATGTCTGAAATAGAGTTTGGAGAGAGGACTCATTTAGAAACATTTTCCAATATCTAAATATAGAAATATCTGTTGTTGGACAAATAGAAGGCCACACATCCATCATAAGGGCCCTACATTTCTTGGGAATCTATTGCTCTCTTTCTCTCTCTCCCTTTATTACACCTTTAAAGGCCCAAGAATTAGCCTTTGCAACTTGCATTGCTTTCGAGCTATAGCGACCACAAATATTTTATTCTCTCCTAGTCATGGATCAAAACTTATCTTATGAATCCGACAAAATTCCTTCATGGGTACTCTTGTCTCCTTAAAGTCAAAATTTTACATTTCCACAATATTTCTAGCTTACCAGGTCCAAGAGTACCATCCTTTTACGGCTACACATACGATTCTAGTATTTCAGAAAGACAAGAAACTCGATACGAAATTTTCAAAGTCCTGTCTTGTAAAAGGAATACTTAATTTGGACTTCTGAGAGATGGAATTCATCTGAAATTGTCTTAGGGGCCTCTTCAGGCCATACCATGGTAAGCATTCTGTGCTCACTTAAAACCCACTCTGAAATTGGTGCAATTTCCATAAGAAATGCCACTATGTATCATAGAACTCCAATCATCATTAACACATTATACGACAGGGACCACTAACATATGCTTCCTATGACTGCAGTGGAGAGATGAATCCAAGTCAAATATGGAATAATTATAACCCCATTACTTTTGCCACGGGCCCCAAATTTCCACATGTCCAAAGATACATTGCAAGTGCTAGTGAAACCTTGAAATGATAAATGACGCCTCAAAATTTGACACTACAAGCCGCAAAAACTCAATATAAAAATACTATTTCTGCAAATGCGGCAAAATGCACATCTAGAAACAGACAGATGGAAAGTACAACCTGATTTTGGGCACATATTGGAAACCTCTAGTTGTACACCTAGACCAATCCTTAACAGTTCCCAAGAAATAATATTTGAAGATTGTCCATAATTGAGGCACATAAGCTTCTAAGAATGACGGATAATATCATGACACTATGAGCTTCGATATAACTAATAGTGATGTTGCTTTCAGATAATACCTAGACCAATCCTTAGCAGTTCCCAAGCAACAATATTTGAAGATAGTCCGGAATTGAAAAGGCACATAAGCTTCTAAGAATGAAGAATAATATCATGACACTATGATCTTCGATATAACTGATAGTGATGTTGCTTTCAGATGATACTTATTCACTTCTATCTATGCAACTAATTAAAACAGCCAAACACTAAATTCAAAAATAGCTCAGCTAGCCATCTCTAGACAAGGAAATAGCTTTGGCCCTTGCCTAGGGATTTTCCTAGCAAGAATTACTAGGCAGCCACCTCCCTGCTCAGGCCCTTGCTTAGGCAGGTGACTAGCTATGTTCGCAAAAACCGACAAGTGTGACCTAAGTAAGCTAGGTCCCCTATGTGAGTGCCAAGAATTTCATTTCCATTTTATTTCTAATATCTATGTTATTTATATATTCTACGTACTATTCTATATAATATATAATTCTTGTTTTAATGTTTCATACATAATTCTCTTATCAAACTATATTTAATATGTCGATATCATAAGGGATAGACATCATCATCATCATCATAGCCTTTTTCCAATTAATTGGGGTCCGCTACACGAATCCTGGTCTGTCATTCTGCTCCGTTTAAGGTCATACCCTCAGTGAGGCCATAAGTCCCTATATCTTTTCGGACTATTCCAACCACATCCTTTTGGGCATACCCCTTGCCCTTTTCAATCCTTCCACTTGAACTGATTCGCACCTCCTAATAGGTGCCGTACTGGGTCGATGCCGCACATAGCCAGCCCACCTAAGTCTACGCTCTCTCATCTAAGCTATAAATCATAAAACCAATACATTGTTGTAAGCATATAATCAGTTTTATATTAGATGCATATTAAAGTATACATAAATGTGACAGCAAATATACAAACATAATCTGGATATGTAAATATCTCCAAAACTATTAAAATGAGTATATAAATAAATAAAGAAAAAGCTGGTGTAGGCCCACTAGCTCACAGCTATATATGAGCCCAACAGCCCAGATTCAATCTGGAACGATCTAAAGGGCACGACCTTGCTTCGTATTTGAATTTTAGTTTTGTTTCTACAAATCCAAATTACTTGAAAATTTGGTCGTGTGTTCTTTAAAAATAGGAGAATCTAATAAAATATAAATAAATAATTTGCAATAAATAAATTAATCAAAATACCCCCGAATATTTTTAGGGGTATTTTGGTCAATTTATTTATTACGGAATATTTTTTTAATATTTTTACTAAGTACGACTTGATGAGAAGAATAGAAGCCTAAAATTTCATGTGATTTGGATTTGTAGAAAAACATTAAAATTAAAATATGAAATGAAGTCGTGATCTTCAGATCGGCCCAGATTGAATCAAGACTGTTGGGCTCATATGTACTTGTGAACTAGTGGGCCCACGCCAGTTTTTTCCAATAAATAAATAAACATATAAAGTAAGATAAAATGTTAAAACCCAATTAAAAATTCATAAATATTGAGAAAAGAAAAATAGTAAAAGATCCTTAGAAAAACTTATTAAGGGCAAATATGGCAATTGGAAAAGAGCTACAAAACTCTCATTCGATGTTCCAAGAATGAGAACTAAACAAGCCATAGCATGATGCTTGAGTTGGATCCCAAAAGAAAATTGTTTTAGTGATTCAACATGAGCTCATAGTCATTTGAGGGGGGATCTGATCTGACATCTATAAACATGATCTCATCCAACATTTACGACTGCTTCCTACCCTGGCAAAAACCAAGAGGAAAACCCAACAGGTAAGAGTGGGATATCACGTAACGCATGGTAGGCAATTGCCTAGTCATGCTCACTTACCCAAGGATCAAGCAAGGCACAAAGACATCCCCCTGCTTGAATCAATCTGCATGGTGACCTGGGCAATTGCCTTTGATAAAAGAGGCAAGCAGTGCTCGCTGCCTATAAATTTGGTGCAGGACCCTCATAATATTGGCATTTCGGTCATATTAGCTGACTTGGATGAAAAATTTGCAAGTCATACATTCCAAAAGAAGAGCATAACTCAAAGAGACACTCAGAATATTTTTATTCCGACTTCACTTTTTGGTTTCCTATTGCTCCCTATATGGCTTCAAACTAATTCTCCCATCAGAAACCACACCTACAACAACTGACATTTCCAGAGTTCATAGAAAACCATGGCTTCCAGTTCATGAAGCAAAATTGACCAAGTGTGGTTGGGATTACACCACCTTCTCAATTCAAAAACTGAACACTGTAGCATGTACTTCACATAAATACAGGTAGAGAAAGATGATGTCACACAAGGAACTCAACAATCGATATAAAGTAAACAGCTTTGAATTGCCAGTATTTCCATGAGGTCATCATTGCATCTACAAGATAAGATATATGAGGGATGCTAAAAATGGAACAAAGGTAAAATATGACTAGATGAAGAAGCAAAGGTGAAGCAAGACATCCTGATGACACAAGTATTAGTGGTATGAGTGGATGAAGATTAACATTCAAGGAATACCTCACAAAATGTCAAACAAATGAGTTTTATATGCCCGATTTTAGAGTCAAACTGAGAAGGGAAAGGCAAAAAGAACCTAAGGTTGGAATTGGATAGAGTAGTTAATTGTAACAGAGCATTATAACGGTTATTTCATTGTGTATACTAGAATATCAAACTATAGAATAATAATCTTCCTTAGTTGGGGTTATTCCCTTTTATTTGTAGGCCAACCACAATAACCAAAACCTCTAGGGTAGAAAGTTACCAAATCTAGTACGTATGAACTAGCACAAATGTCGAACAGAGTACTTTGCATGCATAGAAACAAAAAACTCATTGTAATACATAACAAGAGAACTTCAGTAAATGGACAGCCACTCGTGAAAATGCTCATAAAAAACACGGACATTGAGAATGGGACAGATTAAGGTGCTACTCAGGTCTCTACAAGACAGACCGTGTGCAGATTCTCGAAAAGAAGCTAGATTCCTTAAAGATCCAAGAAGTTAAAAGGCAATTTAGCAGCAATAAGTTGAAAGGAAAAAGGAACTGATATCAACCTGATAATCAAATTTTAAGGTTATGGGTGTATCATTTGGTAAAGATTCAAGATGCTCCAATGGTTCTCTGGTAATGTTTACATCTTAAAGTTTTGCTCCAACTAGGGGTTTATTATAGATATACAGTGCATAAAGACCTTGGACATTGTCTTCTACACCTAGGCCACCAGATTTTGAAAGTCAAGGTGAAATTTCACAGATCAGGAACTACCCATTTGGTATCCCTTTTGACACAGACACTAACAGTCAACAAGGTATAGAACAAACAAGAGAAACATATAAAAAACAGTCACCACTAAAGGAACATCATCTCATTGTACTAATAATACAGATTCAAAAAACAAAAGAAACAAAAAAAAGAAAAAGAAAATATTGTTAAAGAAAGCGACCAAGTATCTTGACAGAATACGAAATTGCAAAAAGACCCACTTCTGAATATATGAGATGTTTCTTCAACTTGCAATCCAATGACTAGAAAGAGAAGTATTGTGAGACCCAAAATGAAAAATACTGAAACCCCTCATTTGTATACTTTCCCTACACTTTAGCAAAATGCACATTGCACAATATATTGACCATACATGCTTACTCCCTAGGTCTTCTGGGCACCATCACCATCTGTTGTCGATGTTTTTTCAAGAGGAGGTTCAGAACAAGCCTTCAAAACAGCTTCATTCTGCAACAAACAGGTGGAGATCAGAAGCTTAGAATGCAACCGAGAACATCGATAATAGGGAAATTCCAGGTAATAACGCCATTCACAGTGCGTCAATTTATGAAGCAAGAGGGTCATTAAGTGTCTTCCTCACCGGGGACAAGTCGAAAATGACCCGCTGTTCAGATGCTGGACAATATCACAATTTCAAGCAAAAAAAACAAGCTCCTCTCCGCTGTCCATTTTTTAGGATGGAAGGTGGATGGGCCTTTTTCTACCAAATACTACAAACTTTCATGTGCAGTATACTTCTACCCTGAACAACATTAGAATCTAGTGACTAGAAAAACCATATTCTGTTAGATCATAACCATCCATTGAAATGCAGGATGGAAATGGGGAGAGACAAGGACCAGCCAGAGCAGGTCTGACACAAATGATGGTATTACTCTCTTCATCACTGTCCATTTGTTCGACAATTATGACGGTCCATTTTCCGTTCAACAATTATGACTGTCCATTTTCCCTTGGACAATTATGACCAATGTATTATGATTCCTCCATGTTCCATTGCATTTATAGTATGTGTATTCCCTATATCCATGCCACAATTGAGTTTTTTCTTTTGTCACCTAGATGAAACCTGAGTAACTTTAATATAAATACATGTGAAGGAATCCAGTATGGTTGATAATCTTCAGTAGCCATGTATGGAGAGTCTATTTAGAAGAAATATTTTTCTAGGATACAATTATTTTCGAAAATTGAAGCCAAGCAATTAAACCAGCCACCCACAAATTTCATTTAACTCCATTACACCTAAATTTCATGTCAAACAACCTGTGAAATGATCTAGTGGCCGTTCAGACCATTAATAACAATAGGAAAGTCAAGTAGCAAGAAGAAAGTGGTTTGGTGCAGAGGTTAAAAAACCAAAAAAATCAGATACAGCTATTCCCAGCCAAGTTGAAATCATAATTAGCATTAGAAAAATTGGACTCACTGGGTGCCAGGAGCAACTCCACTACGTGAGTACCTACTAGTGGAGATGCCAAGTCTACCCAAATTTGGATGAATTGCAAACAAAGGAGTCGAGGAAGATCAAGAAAAAATAGAAAATAAAAAATATTAAAAACAGAAAACCTATACGCAGAATGAAAATCAAGAGAAGTTGATTTATTGCTATACACTTGATGAAATTAGAGTGTTTTTCGAAATTTTCAGCCAACTAGTGTTTCGATGTTCAAAATCATGCAAATCAGAGCTTTGTGAAAAATAACCCTTTGATTTGATAGAGAACTCAAAAATGGACTAACGGAAGAACTTTTAGTGGCACTGCAAAAATTTCATAAGAATTCAAACTTCGGCCAAACCATAAATCGACAATCAAAATCTTATAAATGCAATGAATTTTCATATTTTGCTCTCAAATTTGACGTTTTTCAATTGTTAGAGGATGCAGAAAGAGGCCTAGGGATGATAATCAACAGAAGAGCTATTTTTTTTTTATAATGAATACAATAAAAACTATCCAACAGGGATACACATTAAATCAAGGAGAGAAAGCACTAAGCAAAATAGAGAGAAGCTCTAAGTGCCTAGTAGATAAAGAGGCAAAAAAACAGAGATGGAAGAGCTTGAGGGTGAAACAAAAGTATGATATATGGGCTTTCAAGTAGATATCAATATAAATATAGGAAGCACGAAGAGGCAAAGAATTTTTACGAGAACCAAAATTCTGTTATGCAAGTGAAAGGTAAAAACCAAAAAAACAAAATTCTAACATATGGTGTTTTTTTATGTTTCATAATACTTGTCTAATTCCTCATAAATCCCTAAGCTTATGCACTTGTATAGAACAATATCACATAAACAATAATTACAACAACTCATGGTGAAGCTCTTTCAAAAATATAGCACTGAGCAAGAAATGCTTTTCTCATTTCTTAGAGACTAATAAATGATTCATGCATTTTCACATATATGAATCCCGCTTGTTTTACAAGTCACATAGTTTGAAGCGTATCAATGCTATTGTCTTCACCGATTTGGTCATTTGGATATAGTCATATAGAGCACCAATCACGACATTGACTTTCTATCTTATGAACATATAGATTCCTAGAGATTTAAAAGATTGGAACTTTCTTATACATGAATTCCTCATTTTCAAAGTCATGTAAAGCATATCAAATTTGGTTTGATACTATATCAAATTTGGTATGATACTACAAACAAATTCCCTTATTGGAACTAATTGTGTTCATTTAATGAAGACTTCACATCAATGAAATGAACACCGGACCAGTGCTAGTCGCACCAGGAGTCATGCACTTGTGGGCCTATTGACCCAGATATCTGACCAGTAGGCTCAACCGTTCCAGATTGAACCAGCAGTCCCAATGCCGCTACAGTAATTCCAGGTGGTGCCATTTTCATTTTTATTTTTCCATCAGTTTTAGCCATTCTGCAGTGGTTTTTTCTGGCTTTCCCAATATAATTAGGAGCATTTTGGTAATTAGCTACATTTTACAGAGAGAGAAAGAAAGAGAGGAGACAGAGAGAGTTTGGCAATTTTTGCTCTCTCTCTTGACTCAGAAGTCCTACATTGGGGCCTATTTCCTAGCGATTTGTAGAGGGGAATCCAGCCACTCATTCTGCAGCATTTCAACCTCCAAGTAAAATTGTCCGATTTATTTTGATTTGTTTGTTTTAGATTTTGGAAAAGTTAGAAAAACAATTTCATTTTTTAAGATGTTTTGCAGATAATGTACTTTTTCTAATCTTTACAATAGGTAGTTTTAGAAATGTGTAGTGGCATTCTTGCATCCAATATAATGGATTTTTGGCTTTTGTTGTAGGTATTTACTTATCTGGTGGATTTTTTACATCTTTTTGTACATCGATATTTGTTATTGTGTTCTTTTATTTTTTATTTTATTTTTGGTTGTTTAATACTTCAATGAAACTATGAAAAATGTAGATATATGGAAATTGTTCCATAGGATTTAATGCATCATAGGCTTTCTTTATTTTAATAGGAAAAATCGATTTTTCCATATTTTTTATTGTTTAAAACATCTATGGAAAGTATTAAACTATTGAATCAGGATATCGTGTGTTTTTTTAATATTTTCGGTTTTTATTTAACTTGATATTAATACGAATAATCAATTTTTTGCAATTATTCAAATACTTCACATGACTAATCAATATTTTTTAAGGAAATGTAAGGGGTTTTGTTGTGTAGATTTTTGGGATTTCTAGGTTTGTGTCTTTCTTTGATATAGAGTTGTGAATTTGTGATTCCTGATTTCTTTGTTGATCGCAGCATGTATTTTCAGGGCAACTGTCTGGTCCCTTCAAGGTTCTTCCATATTTGTATTTTTTGATATGCATACGAAGACCTGATAGAAATCCATATCTTACTATCGATCGATTGAAAGATCTATTAATAAATGGATGGATATTGATCTAGGTTTTAGTAAAATGAATGTCAAAGAAAACAAAATAGTAAAGAGCCCTTTTTATTGTTGCCCGAAAGTATTTGACCTAGCAGTGGTTTGGGAATTTAGAAGGGAGATTGGTCATTGGGTGGTATTTGGTGGCTTGGTGGTTGGAATTTGGACATTGGGTGGTGATTGGTGATTAAGTATTTGAGTTTGATTGATTGGTGCCTAAATTGGGATCATGGGATTTGGGAGTTTTAATAAACAAATGCCTTCATCTAGGTCTAATAAAGCTAAATTAGACCTGGTGTAGGGCATGTAAATACATTATTGAATGGAGAGAATTATGAAAACACATGTACATGTTGTAAAACTAACAAAGGGAGGAGGCCTACATCGGGTCAGGTGTTATTGGCTCACAAGGTTGGCAATGTGAGTAAGTTCTCTTGGGAACCTGCCCATGTCATGAAAGATGTGCAAAAAATATTGGAAGTCATCAAACTGAAAAACAGAGAAGGTAACTAATTGCCTAAGAGATTGACAACCCTACCCTACCTCAATGGAGACTCTTAATATAGATGAAGAAGAGGAGCCCCAGCCTACATCCAACGTAATGTAATTTAAGAGATGAGGGGGTAACTAGCTTGCTATTAGCATTACCAGTAGGCTTTGAAGTCAAGGTGGGCTAGAAAATTATTTCCCATCAAGAACAATACCGAATGCCCAGCCAACAATTAAATGTGTTGGCTTGGGAGAAGGCAATGGAAAGCTTACACATGTGTGCAGCCCATTGGATGTATGATTATGCCATCCCATTTAATGCCCACAACTCCTACTTTTAACCTTTGTTACATGTAGTGAATCAGTGCCATCTTTAGGCTCAATGTACAAAGGCCTAGTTTCCATGATGCTAGAAGATGGTCGTTAAAGAAGAATGTGGCAGAGGGCAAATACTACATTGAGACATATAGGGAGATCAGGGTAGTCATGGATACTCAATCATGGTTGATGGGTGGACTGATGGGAGAGATAGACAGTTGATAAAAATTTTGGTGTATTGTTACAAGAGGACAATTTTTTTAAGTCTGCGGATGCCTCTGATATTGTGGAGAGATGGGAGGCATTATTTCAATTGTTTAAAGAGATTTTTGACAAAGTGGGACCATAGAATGTGTGGACCAATTTATTATTGATAATGTGCAACTACTCTCTTTGGGGCAGTTGCTGCAACCTGCAACTGCAAGAGCATTATCATACCATTCTTTGGACTTTATGTGCAGCTCATTTATCTATTTGATGCTTTGGGATTTTGGGAAGATGAAGGATGTTTCATCAGTTGTATATAAAGCAAAAAGTGTTCAATGTTTTTATTTGAGGAAATTTTCAACTTATTGTAATTTTTTTTAGGAAACAAAAGTGTTCAAAGTTTATCTGCAACCACTCATTCGTCCTCGGTTGGATGGAATAACATACAGAAGAGAGTTAATGAGCCACACAACTAGAAGGTTTGGCACAAATATCCTCACATTACATAGTATTTTACAGCCAAGGAATGGTTTGAGAACCGTGGTCACTTCAAGTGACTGGTTGAAATCTGTATGTGCCAAAACGAGTAGTTGGAGGGCCATGGTGGATTTGGTTTTGAGTAGCCAGTTTTGGAGCTTAATTGCCAATGTGATTAGAGTAACAAAGCCCTTGGCGAAGCACAAGAAGTCCAAGTACAAGAAATCATGCAGTATCACTGCAAGTTTCAAGCACAAGAAGTCCAAGTACAAGGAATTTTGAGAGATTATATATAAGAGATGGGATAGGCAGTTGCATTGCCCTATAGATACAGATGTTTATTGGCTCAACCCAAAATTTTTCTACAACAAAGCTACATTGTCTAACCATATGGAGATTGCAAAGGGCTGGCATACCATGATTGAGATCTTGTATCCAGATAGGCATATGTAAATGAGGACCGGGAAGGAGATGAACTTGCATGAGAATGAACAAGAAGATTTTGGGAAAGATGGGGGTAAACATTAGATATGATATCCTCTCAAGTAATTCATTTTATTTTGGTAAATTGTTTCATGCGGGATAGCCTGCTTGCCTGCATAAATCTCCACTGTGGAGATTGCAGCGGATCCCCACAATCCCCGTCATCCAACCATGTCGGACAGTGGAGATCTCACTAGCCCGCATAAAAACAGTGTCCTTTTATTTTTGGTTCTCTTAAAGTTCAATACAAATTAAACATCTCATGTTGTTTCTGAGTTTGAGTTTACGAAAGCGTTAAAGAACAATTAGATGAATGGATGGAGATGGAAACACCATCATTATCATCATCCAAGCCTTATCCCAATTATTTTGGGTTGGCTACATGAATCATGTTCCTCCAGTCTTTTCTATCAAGGGCCATACCCTTAGTAAGACCAAAAGTCAATGTATCTTTTCTCACTATTTCTATCCATGTCCTTTTGGGCCGTCCCCTTGCCCTTTTAGAGCCTTACATTTGAATCAAATCACACCTCCTAACCGGTGTTGTATTAAGGTCTATACTGCACATGGCCTACCCACCACAGTCTACTTTTCCTCATTTTATTGCCAATTGAAGCCACATCTAAGTCCACTCGTATGTATTTATTCCAAATTCTATCATTTCTTGTCTTGCCACTCATCCATCTCAACATCCTCAACTCAGCTACGCTCATCCTGTGGATATGTTATATCTTGACCGCCCAACATTCGTCCCATAAAGCATGGCTGGTCTTACAGCCATCCTATGAACTTCCCCTTCAGTCTCAATGGAATGCAACGATCAAATAAAACTCCGGATGTACATCTCCACTTCACCTACCCAATTCTAATTCTATGTACGACACCATAAGAGGTAAATTTTCAGTTTTAACTTTAAGCACTTGATTTGGAAATTTTGAATAGTTTAGGAATCAAAGCTCTTATGCCAATAGAGAATCTTTTGCATGGGTGGTGGAGATGATGCTATAGAGGGTCTCAATGGAGAGCATTTCAATGACAATGATGATGAAGACGGTGGATATGATGAGGAGAAAGAAGAAGGAGACGACGATGATGGATGCTGCACATGACTTGGATTTATTTGTCTTAGCATTCATGTATATTTAATCATTTATGTAACAATCTAAATGTGGGGTTTGGATTGCTATTATGCTTTATGCCATGGTTTATGACTTTGTCTTCAACTATTTATGACTTTATGGGAGAGAGATTGGAAGTGCAAGTATGGTGTTATGGATATGATTATTATGATGCAATGAGTGAACCATCCGGTTATTGGAAGTGCGCATTATTCTGAAGTTCTTTATTTTATAAAAATTTCACAGGTCTGATGAGTGAACCATCCGGTTCGCCTAGTCCAACCGAGCCAGTGCCTCCACTTGTTTAATGTCAGGTCAAAATTGCCTTACATATCAAGAACCCACTGAGCACCACCTAAACAATATGACAGATCAAGAACCCATATGATATATGCATTGGTCCACATATAACATAATTTCAATCTGACCAATTTTTGCCATATCTTCTCTTCACAATGTCATAGGAAGATACATAAAAGCCACAAAAACCATGAACCCAAAGGCATAAACTCCTCCTTCCAAATTCTCGAGTGGCATTTTCATAAATCTCCTTCTATCTTTTACAACATTTCTAGCCTTAAAATCTTCCTAATATGGATAGTTACACAAACACAGACGAAGGTTATCCTTGACGACCTACAGCTGTTTGATTACATCATGAAACACCAAAAAATATATTTCTAGCTGAGATTTTGCCAGATTTTCAACCATATTTGAATCAATTAAGAAAAGTAATATCTCAAATATGAGTTTTTTCATTTCTAGGTTAAATTCAGAGAGAGGATGAAGAAGAAGACCTGCCAAACTCGAAGGAGACGCTTCTTGGCATTGGCTTTGCGAGTTGTGGTGAGCTTGATCCTCTTCCAAAGAAGACCGCCCGTCTGTTTCTTCACAATTTCCATTACACGAGTTGGCGCAAAGAAACCCATTCTCTCTCTCCCTTTGCAGCAAAGACGATTATTTTGTCTCTCTACCTTGTTTCCCTCTCCTTTTCAAACCAGTCTACTTTTTTTCTCCTCTTCTCGCTCTGGTCTCCAAGGCTTTAAGGGTTTTAGAGAGAGAGAGAGAGTGAAAGCAAGGGTTTTAGAGAAGAGCGCGAGTGAACGGAAGGGTCTTTAAACCCAAGGAAGGAGGACGACATGTGAAAGCATGTGCGTCTACATGGTAAGCTAAAGGATTTTATGCTCCCCCGAGCATGCTGTCTATTTACTCTCACGATTAAGAGGTTAATTTTAGGACCCCAAGTTTTGGAAGTAATGTTTTGAACTTATGGATTCACTTGAGGTATGGCATTCAATAGAGTAGTCAAGCGGGTATAGAATTTAACATAACAGACTCATAGAGCATTTAATATAACAGACTCATAGACTAATTTCAATGGAAGAAAATTTCCTAATTGCAACTTTTATGCACTTGATAAAATAATATTTCAAAGTTGAATAAAGACCATCCGATTTTTAGAAGGTAAAAACTAAGGGTTAGAAAATTAATAATTCAAAATATTTCTTTTGAGAATAATCATCTAGTGATTTATAGGTGGTTTACGATTTCTAAGTGATTCTCAAAAATTTTGAATTGAAAAATATTTTTCATGACAAAGAGAGTAGATGTAAACTATGTTCCATGTGGGATTATAGTTAAGGGCAAGCTTTCTATGCTTCTCTTACAACATAAAATTTATATACTTCCCCTTATCCAACCGTCCCTTCTGAATGGAGTGCTGAGATTGCCCCCAATCACAATGTTATGTCTCTACATTATTTTATTTTTTATTTTTTGCTATAAACCATTTTGACACCAAATTTTGTACATCCAATCCTCTATTAAACTTGCACTAGCGAAAAATATAAAAAATCTATTTACAATAAAATAAAATGACCAAAATACCCCCGAAAATTTTAAGGGGTATTTTGGTCATTACATTTATCGAAAAATTTATTTTTACAATTTTTTTTATAGGTTTTCCCCATTGAGAAGATGGTGTACGAAATTTCATATTCATACAATTTGTATAAAAAAACTAAAAATAAAATACTTTGAGACGTCAGATCTAAGATCAAACGGTGAGTGGCTCTCTTGATCAAAATTAGACGGCTGGATGGTTGGGGAAGCATAGATCTTCTACGCTGTAGGGAAAGTATAGAAACCTTTTCCTATAGTTAAATCTGTATATCTAGTGATCATGATTGGATTGTGTATGTGTATGGTGTGGTATATGTATGCACATACATATAAGGACATGGTTTATGTGAATCATAGGACTCATATGTGAGTCCCATCTCAAAAAAAATCTATTTTTGAGATGGATACTGAACCTAATTTTTAAAGAATATATAATCTCTAACATGGAGATAATGGATATGTTAAAAAATAATTTTTAAAAAATAATAATAATAATTTTATGAAGAAAATATTTGATCATTAGACATTCCCCCAATAAAAGGATAGGGCGGGCACATCTACTATCTTGGACAAAGATGGAGAGCGGCATTGGGTCTAGGAACCGAATTCCAAGGCCCCCAATGGGCTAGGATGGGTCGGGCTAGCTCGAATGTGGCATGGGTCGTATAGGGTGAACCCGGCCTTGATAGGACAAAAGGGCCCTGGTTCAAGCCTAGCTCACACCCAGTCTTGTGCAAGCAGCCATGCCTAGTGGTTTTAAGAAATAAATCTAAGAGTCGGCCTCCCATGACCATTGCTCAGTCCAAAAGCCCGAGCTTGAGCCCGAGCCCCGCCCTCATGCCATATTTTATAGCCCAAACGACTGGACTGTGCCGGTCCATTACCAAACGTAACCATATTTCGCTAACTAGTAACTAATAGCAACAAAATATGAACTATATTCTCCTTTTTTCTAGGTAATACAAACACCAACAAAATATGAAATATTTTCCCCTTTTTGGCTAGGTAATACAAACTATGTCATAACTCATAATATACTCCTATGATAAATAAAAGCATAGTTATCATTGTGTGATAAATATCAGCAGTGATGTTGGGTTTGAGCACCTTATTTCATGATTGCCAAAAATATGAAAATTTTCCTCTTTTTTAGCTGGATACAAGCTATGTCATAATTTACTCCTACGATGGGGAAAGGAATAAAAACACGGCATATACACGATGTGTGTTCGCCCAAGGTAAAGTGGAAGAATAAAATTCAGGATAATTTACTTTGGTTCACGAAGATGATAGTTATGCTTAGTCATTAAATATGAAATCAATCTGGTGGTAGTACGCTATTGGCCAGGTTCAAGTTTAAAATAAATTCTCTAATTTTGCGATGCGTGTTAAGTTATTGAATTTCACATCTAACAATTAGTAGTTAATTGTAGGGAAAGAGCATGGGCTTAATTGGTTAGCGCTTCTCTGATTTTGCGATGCGTCTTAAGTTATTGAATTTCACATATAACAATTAGTAGTTAATTGTAAGAAAAGAGCACAGGCTTATTTGGTTAGCATTTGATGATTTTGCAACGCTACGTCCTAGGCTCCATTCCTATCCAGGGTAGGGCCCCCTCCCAAGTCTCCACTAACTCACCTAAAAAAAAAAGTTAACTTTGATGATTTTGTAACGCTACGTCCTAGGCTCCATTTCTATCAAGGGTAGGGGCCCCTCCCAAGTCTCCACTAACTCACCTAAAAAAAAAAAAGTTAAACTATGACCTCCTTGTGTACCCTCTCCCCTCAATTCTCTACGTCCTAGGTTCCATTCCTAACAAAGGTAGGGGCCCTCTCCCAAGTCTCCACTAACTCACCTAAAAAAAAAAGAAGTTAACTATGACTTCCCTGTATACCCTCTCCCCACTAACTCACCTAAAAAAAAAAACAGGAGGTTAACTATGACGTCCCTGTATACCCTCACCCCAGTCTCCACTAACTCACCTAAAAACGAAAATACCCTCACCCCAGTCTCCACCAACTCACCTAAAAACGAAAATACCCTCACCCCAGTCTCCACTAACTCACCTAAAAAAAAAAAAAGAGAGAAAATACCCTCTCCCCAGTCTCCACTAACTCACCATAAAAAAAAAAAAGAGAGGAGGTTAACTATGACCTCCCGTATACCCTCACCCCAGTCTCCATTAACTCAACTAAAGGGGAAATATAAATAGTCTTGTCTATACTACATTATCCATATCTATAAATAGTCTTATCTATACTACATTATCTATATCTATACCTAAATGTAAATAATCTTATTTATACTACGTTATCTATATCTATATCTATATCTATACCACATTATTATCCCATATCTATACTACATTATCTATATCTATACCACATTATTATCCTAGACGATGGACACCTATTGCGAAAATAACAGGCGATGGACACAATTCCTTCCAAGGGTAGGGGCCCTCTCCGCAATCTCCACTAACTCACCTAAAAACAGTTAACTATGACATCCCTGTATAAAATGTAAATAGTCTTATCTATACTAAATTATACATTGTTATCACAGGCGATGGACATGTATCGCGAAAATAACAGACGATGGACACATATCACGAAAATAAGTAGGGGCCTAATTCTATACAGATTGTAGGACACATTTCTCACTTTAGAGGAAGAGAGACTAGTATCGCAGAAATAAGAAGGGCTTAATTCTATAGAGATTGTAGGACACATTTCTCACTTTAGAGGAAGATAGGCTAAAATTTACACGAAGATTTTAAGGAAGAGAGGGAGAGATTTCCATATTTTATTGAGAAATAAGAGAATTTTTTTTGTTCAACCATTTCCTAAAATTTGTGTGTGAAGAGTAGAGAAAAAAAATCTCCACCCTTTCCTAATATTTTGTACCTAAAGAGTAGAGGTTTTAGGAAGAGAGAGAGAGAGAAAATAGAGATTTTAGGAATAGAGAGAGAGAGAGAGAGAGAGAGAGAGAGAGAGAGAGAGAGAATAGAGTAGTTTAGGAAGAGAGAAATATGAGTTTTTCTTTTTTCTATTTTTTGGTTCCTACTTCCTAAAATGGGTACATGCAGTGTTAGCAAAATCGAAACGGAAATGTTAACCGGACATGGGGCCGGAAACGGTTTAACCGGCCTAACCGGTAAACCGGCTGATTCAACCGTTCTAACCGAGCAAGTCCTGGGCAGTAAAAAATTTGTTGAAAAAAATAAAAGCAGTGAAAAAATTGTTAAAAAAATAAAAAAGATACAAAAAAATCTATTAAAATATGAAAAATATATAAAGAATGATTAAAACAAAACACATTCAAATGAAGTTGAAAATTAATGAAAAAATAGATTTTTAAAAATCGATTTGTGCCTAGGGTATTTTCAATTTTTTTAAAAAAGATGGGAAAATATAAAAATAAGTATTAATGACCAAAACAATTTAATCTTTATCATAATATAAAAATATTTTAAAAAATACATTACTAATCAAATTCTTTATTTTTGATATTTTATATACATTTTTTGAATTATGATTTTTTAAAATACCGATCGATCACCCAAACCCCCCAAAACCAGAACCGGCAAGTGGCCGGTTCCAATCTAACCGGATGGTTACCAGTTAGATCGCCTGGTTTTTTCAATATGGGGTACATGCCCCTAGCTCAAATTCAAGAGAGAGAAAGATATCTATATATATCTAAGATTGTTTGTGTGAAGAATAGAGATTTTAAGAATAGAGAGAGAAAATACTAAGTAGAGATTTTAAGAACAGAGAAGAGAGAGAGATTGTTTTCATATTTTAATTTGAGAATTAGAATATCTTAAAGTAGAGATTTTAGTACGAGAGAAAAAGATCGTTTCCATTATTTTAATTTTAGAAATAGGAAATATTTTCTTTCCATATTTTTTTGTTCAAACTTTCTAAAGTGGGTACCTATCTCCAACTCAAATTCAAAAGAGAAAAAGATATGCATACATATTATTTTAATATTCAAGGGGATACTCCAGCCAAGAATATGATAACCTCTCTCAATGCATGTACCCCCCTCTCTCTCTCAGTCTCACTCTCATTAGTTAAGATTTTGATGTTATAGAAGTTTGAAGTTGAATGGGGCTACGCCCAAGCCATTAGCTCTAATAAGCTATACTATCTTCTACCTATCTTTTTTTATCTCCCTCTCTTTGCTGTATAGGTTTTCCTTGCTATCAATTAGGCAATGATTAAATAACAATTTAGTTATTA